TGGTTCAGTTGGTTGGTTGTCATCCTGTGCGCTGAAAGTTGCTGGTTTGGTTCCCGGTCAGGGCATGTACCAGGTTGGGGGTTGCAGGCTCAATCTCCAGTACATGGCATGAGGGAGGCGGCCAATCAATGTCATGCTCTCACATTGATGTTTTTCTCTTCTCCCTTCCTCTCTCTCTAAAAATCAATTAACTATTTTTTTAAAGTAACTTTAGATTTCCATGAGAAAAAATAGATGTCTTACATCTTATGTATAATATATAAATATATCATGTTTTTTAAATCAACCAAATACATATCTGTGTGAGTTGCTGTGTGCATACATGTACACATACACACACAACTATTAGTAACGTCGATACCTTTGAATCCAAAACTTGAATATAAAACAAATAATCATACAGTTCCTGCCATCTGGGCAGTTTTTAATTTCTAATGTTTATTATATGTCTCTATATCTTTGGGGGGAAAATACTCATTCAATCTTTTTTTAAATATATTTTTATTGATTTCAGAGGGGAAGGAAGAGGGAGAGAGAGATAGAAACATCAATGATGAGACTCAATCATCGATCAGCTGCCTCCTGCACGCCCACTACTGGGGATCAGGACCTCAACGCGGGCATGTGCCCTAACCAGGAATCAAACCGTGACCTCCTAGTTCATAGGTTGATGCTCAACCACTGACTCACCCAGCTGGGCACACTCATTAAATCTTAAGGCTTTACGTATGCCTGTCTATTCCAGGAAACACTGGAGGAGGCAAGAGTGGGACTTCATGAGTATCTGGTCTTGAGATATATCGCTTGCTGGCCTTTGTGGCATTTACTGGGGATTTATATTTATTCCACAAGAACAGCAGCTTAATAAAAAAAGAGAGCTTGCCGAAACCGGTTTGGCTCAGTGGATAGAGCGTCAGCCTGCGGACTGAAGGGTCCCAGGTTTGATTCCGGTCAAGGGCATGTACCTGGGTTGCCGGCACATCCCCAGTAGGAGATGTGCAGGAGGCAGATTCCACAAGAACAGCAGCTTAATAAAAAAAGAGGGCTGGTGTAGGTGTCAGGAAGCTAGATGCCAGTTCCCTCTGCAGTATTATTATTTAGCTCTGATTTGAGGCAAGTCTCTGAACCTCTGTTTGCTCTTTTATGAAATAACTAGAGGCCCAATGCACAAAATTGTGCACGGGGGTGGGGGTGGGGGTGTCTGTCAGCCCAGCCTGCGCCCTCTCGAAATCCTGGACCCCTCAGATAGGGTCCCTAGGCCTGGGCAGGCCTATTCCGAGCTGCCAACAGCTGGCTCTGCCCCGCCACTGCCACTGCTTGCCATCTGTGCAGCGCTGCCCACCCCTCCCATGCTACCAGTCAACTCCCTCTGTGGGCGACAGGTGTGAGGTCCGATTTCTTGGCTGGCCTGGGCTTCCCTCTGCAGGGTGATCACTGGCTGCCCTGCACACCCGCCACAGCATTACTGGCCAGTGGCCTGGGCCTCCCTCTGTGGGGCAATCGATCGTGGGGGACCCCAGATCGATCAACCCAAAGAGCGAGGCCCCACCCACCCGGCCAGGGCTCTGTGATTAGTCGCAGTGCAGTGGGTGGCTTGGGCCTCCTTCTTTGGGAAGATCAATCGCAGAGCCCCCCCATCGATCGCCCCACAGAGAGTGACCTGGGGCAATTGTGGGGTGATGGCAGGGGCCCCCCTCCAATCGCATCACCCCTGCCTTGGCTGGCCTGGTGCCAGTGCGTGTCATAGTGTGGTCATCTGGACAGTCGTTCTGTTGTTCTGCCGTTCGGTCGATTTGCATATTACACTTTTTTTTATTATAAATATATATTTTTAAAAAACAGACCCTATGATAGGAACTAGCCTGATGGACCCCAAGGTCAGCTCCCCAGGTATGCCAGGCCCAGACTCCAGCATATGCCCAGGACCAGGCAGTGGGGGCACCAAGCATGGAGACTGCAGGGGGACAGGGAGTGCCCAGGGCAGCCCAGGGCGGCACCTGGCG